GAAAGCCAAGCCTACGCCTACCACTGGGAAGTGGTAAGCCTGGAGCCAACTCCCATCGGTTTATAAACCCCAAACCCGCAACCCTGAGGAAAGATTGGCCGCAAGCCCACGGGAGGTGTTTACATGCAGCAGAAACTCGCGAGCGGAGAAGACTCCAGCCCTGGCTACATTACTTTCATTCGAAGACGTCCAAGAACTACTATTGGGGCCTAAAAAATTACCTATATTATTTTGGGGTTCCGTATTATAATTATGCGTAGTATACTATAACCCCAAAACCTTATTCTAATTATTAAGGCCCCTACATTACAGGTATCCTCAAACCTTCAAGCCCCGTCAGGAATCGTCAGTCCTTCGAGCAGAAAAAGCTCAAGCTGAAACTTCAAGTCAAGTCCACCCTAAACCCTAAACCCTAAAGCCCTAACCCGGCAATGCGGGCTCGTCCTGGCTAAGTGAGAGGGAACAAAAAGCCCAAGCCCTAAACCCTAAACCCCTAAACCCTAAAGCCCCAACCCTAAACCCTAAACCCTAAAGCCCAAACCCCAAGCCCTAAATGCTCAACTTTCAGCGGTGAAGAGCTTCAACCCCAGGTCTCGATTGCGAGAGGCCACGGAGTCTCTTTTGGGTTCAAGCGTTTTAGTGGGAGGCAAAAAGCCTAGAGTTCAGGGTTTAGGGTTGAGGGTTTAGGGTTTCGGGTAGAGTCAGGGCTCAGGGTTTTCGGATCTCTTTGTTGCTTCAGTCAGGCTTCTTTGCCTTGAAAGAGTAGGGGGGGGCAGTCTTCCGGGAGTGGGGGAGCCTTCTGAGGTCTCAGGCATAAAGCTTCGATGCTCAAAAGCAACTCTGCTAGTCGCTTCTGAGTTTGCTTCCGGTTGGGCACCACCTAGCCGCATGATAGTCCGGTGAGAAGGAGCGGCATCGCATCGTGTTAAGACCCCTTCAACGAGTCGTCGGTAGATGACCTGCCTCCGACGGGCGTGGTTTTGCTCCTAGGTTTCAAGCTATTCAGGGTTTTAAACCCTAAAACCTAAACCCTAAACCGTGTTTGGAGTTCAGGACCTTTGTTTGCGCAGGTGGTAGGTTTCGAGGCACGGGGGGGCAGTCGCGAAGGCGTCCCAGGGTTGGGGTTTGGGGATTCTCTTTGTGCTGTGTACACTCTTCGTTGAAGCATTTGAAGACTTTTGGGTGCCGATGTTGCTGGGAGGCCAACCTGCAGCTCGAGCTCAAGAAGCATTTTCAAAGCAGGCGCCGCAAGCGTGTTCTTGGTATTAGATGAAGTAGCCCTTAACCTTGCTAGGGTACGGTACTTCCCTGAACCTGTAGCTCCCCTAAGAAGCTGGACACGCAGCGTTGAGAGGCGAAAAAGCTGTTTGGGGTTCAAGTAGAACTTGTAGGCACTCGCGCCTGGAGCTGAACTTAAACCCCGGGTACCTAGCTCGAGATTTTGATAGAGCTTTTAGAGTATTGCGGGGCTGGGAGCCTTTTCTTGATGAGGGGTCACTTTCAAAGTTGCCCGTGTTCATGCAAGCTTGCCATAGCGCGGATCCTTCCACAACCCTGAATCAGAACACCACCGCTTTGTCCATTCCACAAGGTCCGAGCCCTGCCTCGGGATCGTGGCTGGGAAGCCTGCCATCTAAGATCTGACGGTTAGCGGGTTCGGGCCTGTCATTTTTGTCGTAATGTCGTGCTGTAGTTTAGCATTTATATTGCAATAGTCTGTTATAGTATGTTATAGTATGTTATAGTATACTATCGTACATTATAGTATATTATACTGTACTATCGTGTATTGTGGTATATTTTGGTAAATTCTAGTTTCTTGTGGTTATACGATTGGGAGTGGAACCTCCCTCTTCCCCAGATAAGTTCGACGCTCTTTCGGCTCGTAGCCGGCTGCGCGCAGACCCGTCTGAAAGTCTGAAGATCCTCAGCACGAAAGGTTTCGGGTTTAGGGTTTAAGGTTCAGGGTTTTGTCCAGCAATTATGACCCTAAACCCTATAACCCTCAACCCTTAGCAACTAAGCTCAAGAAGCCGTCGCCCCTGAAACCAACAAGTTCAAAATATCGGAGGCCTGACTATGAGAGTATGCAGAGTACTATAAGTTTCCCCAAGACTCCATTCTGAAGAGTATTGCTAACTCTAATATTCAGGCCCCCATATGAACTGAAACCCGGAGGCCTGATTTCCCAAACCCTTAAAGCAAAGTGGTGGATGGTGTGGAAGCACAATATGCTTTAGTCATGCCGGGAAGCACTGTCACGAGATGTCACGATTTAAGTCTTAAGTGTTCGGGTCCCCATATTCCTATACTCTTTATCAAAGAGAGGTCTTTTGGCGAAGTCACGGAAAAAAGGGGAAAATGCCGCGGCCAGTCCCTGTTGCATCGCCGCCGAGCACGGAGCGGTCAGAAGAGCCGGGATCTGATGCTGAGAAATCCGAGAACTCCGAGACGTCCTCGGTGGACACAAGCTCCACATCGTCGGAGGGCTCCCTTCATTCGGAGAAGATTCGAGCTGCGAATGCTGCAGTATTCGACAAGGACACTGCCGGAGCTGGCGGGGAGAATTTCCGAGCCATTGCCAGCAGACTCAGGGACCTGGTCATTCCAGAGCCGGAGCCCTCCGTATTGCGGGAAGATAAGTGTCGGTCCCTTGCGAGCAGGTTGCAGAACCTGGCCGTGGAGGAGCCCGAGCCATCAGTACTGCGGGAGCCTGTGGCGCCGCCACCGCCGAAGGATCCAGATGATGCGGAAAGTCTGCTGCCACCCAAGCAGAGGAGCCCATTGATCCAGGCAAGCAAAGAGCCTGAGCCCTGCGTCATTGGCAACAGTATAGAACTGGATGCCAGCCTTCGGGCCATGGAAGCGATATCGCCCAAGAGCCCGCAACATGTCAAGGTTGAGATGAAGCCTGTATGGTTTTCAGGTGAGACAGACTGTGGAGAGCTGAGTTCACGGAATAGTCCTCTGTCCAGTGAGCCCACGAGCAGCAAATCGCCCATCGTAACCAATGACCTGCAGTCCCTTCGAAGGCTTTGGTGCACTTTGGTTCTCTTGAGCCTTTTGGAGCTTTGCTTGATCTCCGGTGGAGTGGTGGCTGACCAATGGACCAATCCTTGTCGAGAAGCAGTGGATCCATGCTCGCTCCATGACACCGACTGTCTGGGCCGGTCTTGCAGAGACTCTGCACCTCTCTGGGCTTCTGCTTGGCCATTGTCGAGTTTGCTGTTTCTGGCGATGCCCATGCGTTGCCTGCTTGCCGGAACACCTTCCAGCGGTTCCTGCTCAGCAGGCATGCCTGTCTTTGCGCTGGTGTCGCTCGGTGTCCTCGGAGCGGGCGCCACCGTCTTGGCCGAATCGGTCACCTCCGGCCTCCACTTCGCCGCGCGTTGCCCCATGCAGCGAGAGGACAGCCGCTGCACCACGGAGTTGTGTCCCATGCCGCCCTGCCGTCGTGAGAGTGACTTCTCGCCCTGCGTGTGCGGACTGATCGGGGAGGCCGAGCTCGCAAGAGCCTTGTTCTTACACAATGCTCCGGCATGCCAGCCATACGAGTGGTACGCCTGGCAGATGAGCCTGCTGGAAGACATCGTCCTGAGATACGAGGCTTTTGCTTGCTTGGCCGGGCCGCTGACGTGCGCTGCCGCAGCGGTGGGTGGAGCTCTTCTACTGGTCCAGATCGCTTGCTGCCCTCTTGTGCTAATTGGCCAATGGGGCGGCAGCGAGGCAGTCCTGCTAATGCTTGGTCGACTGGATGGTCTCCAAGGTGAGCCGCAGTTCACCCGCGTGGCAAACCCAGAACACGAGCACGCCTCTCCGGTACCTGAGTCGCGCTCTGGCTACGTCAAGGCACGCAGTGAGGACACAGTCAACAAAGGCAGTGTGATCTCACAGCGGCGAACGTGGGATGGCGATGTTTCACCCGATTGCAGCTGCTAGCCCTACGTTCGTTAAACAAGCTTCATATTCATTATTACCATTTATCTCAGTCTTGTTTGCATTATTATGAGTATTCTTATTAATTATTGTTATGAATGTCCGCTTTCAGAAGCAGTGAGGTCGACGAAGGTTGGACTTGGGTGCCGGAGTTCTCCAGCAGTGTTGGGTTCCGCGGCTACTGCCAGGGCTCCAGGAATGAATGACTAGAAGGGTTAATGTAGGGGCCTTAATAATTAGAATAGGGTTTTGGGGGTTCCGTACTATAATTATAGTATAGCATACCCCCAAACCCTATTCTAATTATGAAGGCCCCTATGTTACTGTGAGGGGTTCTGATTTGACCCGAGGTTACTTCAGATGAGTGAGCCCTTAGCCGCGTCCGAGCTCTGAATGCTACTCTGAATGATTCTCGGAAATACTATGCAGATAAACTTTTAGCCTGGCAAAGGCAAGGGCACCCAAAAAGGCCCGACACGTTCTTCTTATTCGTTCCACAAGTTCTAAGCGGGAGGCCAGCAGACTTTCTGATCCCTCAGCCTTCGCCCACTCTACACACTGAGAGCTCTTGACCAGATCAAAAATGATAGAATAGCTACTGCTCTTGAGCGCCGAGTATAGCACCTCCAGAACCAATGTTCAGGGTTCCGGAGCTCAGAAGCGGCTGCCCTCTATCACACTATTTTGTTGTCTTGGTCACGCGTCTTATGGATCGCACTGCTAGGGCACGAGTGTGCAGTTTAAAGGTCTAGACTTTGACCGAGTGTAGCTGACGACACTCTTGTATTCACAACATGCGTGTAGGCTTAGTAAATTGTTGCAAAAAGTAGGAAGTAGAGAATGTATCAGCTTAATGTGGGCCAAGGTTGAACAGAGACACGCATGCTTGTATTGCAATGCGCGGTAGCACATGGCAATCGGAGGCACACGCCAAACAGGCAGAACCATTGCACATATGAGTACACAGCCAACTGCCATGTTGAAAGCCACCCCCACCTGCCCACGGTCTCACCATCATGCCAAGAGAGGCAGAAGGTTGGCAGAAAACTACGACGCTTTGAACAATGGCTGCGTCTCAAGGCTCGAGTTTTCAGCACGGGACTTCCTGCTTCCTAGTTCTTCACCTAGCAAGCATGCTTCGCGCACTCTTGGTGGCGTCGTCTCTGTGGCTCTCCCATGCCATGCCAAACACCACGGGCAAAATTTGCCAGTGGGGCTGCTATGATGAAGAGGACGAAGCTTGCCATCCAGGGCTTACCAACATGGCGTGCGCGGAGATTTACGGGCACGTGGAGTGGATCCAGGTGTGCGACTGCGTGGACGAGGCGACGGGCTTGCGTGACAACATCACAGTCGCTGCGCCGAGGTTGGCGCCGGCAAATCT